AAATAAAATCATAACTATAATTGCTATTTCTTCTTTCAAATGTTTAATGTGTCGTGTGAGGCGGGTCGTTACGTTCCCTAAAAAATGGTTGAGCGAAGCGATGGCTGGTTCATGCGTCATGCTCGTGAACGGGTGCTGCCAGCGGAGATGAGTCTGCTCTTGCTACATTGGGTACTATTAATCGTTGTATTTAACTTTAATGGTACATTTGTTTTTATGCCTAAACAGTAGGACACGGCATTCTTAAACTTTTTTTATTTTTAAATCTGTTTTTTATATTATAGTCATAACTGTTTTATCATTTACATTTGTAATGGAAAGTGACTTCATGAGTTATCTCATATTGAAGTCATTTTTCAAATTGACGACTCTGTATATAATACAGGGAGAAAAAAACAGCCCTTGCCGAGTTTCTTGCCGGTTCTTATCAGTACAAGGTCTCCCGCCGTAGATTTGCGAACCGATGGCGTAGCTTTTCGACATTCACAAGTGCTTGTAACAGCCTGGACTGAATAAACGATATTGAATTTTGAATACTTGAAAAAGTATTCATTTGACATTGTGGATTACCTACAATGCGAAGAGATGGCGCTGCCTTGCAGCTTAAGGCTAGGAAAATTTCGCGGCTAATAAGGCCGTGGTAGCATAATGGTCAGTGCATTCGCCCGGATAGCGAAGGATGCGGGTTCGAGTCCCGTCCGCTGCCTGGTCCGCGTGGATTTTTTTTCTAGTAAACTTTTATTTAGATTTAACATCTAGCAGTTAAATGCTTAAATAATAAATAAAATCATAACTTCACATAATTTTGAAATGTTATTGTTTGCGTGTAAATGTTATTTAATATTTGTAATAGATAAAATGCATCACCTCTACCATGTAGTTTTATTAGAGTGATGAGTGAGTGAGAGGAAGAAATCAAAAATATTTATTGATCACATGTATATATGTAATAGTATATTTAGAGATATAACACGTGAACTATTGGATTTGGGGGGAGTGGGGTAATATAATAATTCAAAACCTTCACACCACACACTGTAAGATCTCTAAAGTAATAACATTTGATAAAACTGGTTTCATACATTTTTACACCATTCATAACACAATAAAATTCTTAATATATTTTTGAGTCACAGACTGAATAAAGTAAGATAAATACTCACAAAATGAACACGCTATATAATAGTGCAGATCTGCTCCTAAGTAGATAATGGTTCTTCCGTGCGTGCAGATCTGCACTTTCCGCAGCAGATACCACTCGGTACACGCACACATGCGTAGAATGAGTGAAGTACGAGGAAGAAGTACATTTAGGAATGTTATCACCGAAACCTAAATATTTTTGTATTGAGCTATGATTTAGAATGTCAGATCGATACAGTTGAGTTTGTCTACTTTATCATTCAGTCATTTCCATAACCTAAATACGTCTAAAAATACTCTAAATTTGCCGTTGAAAACGGGCCTTGCAAAACTTGAAAAATTGCGTACTGATTCCCTTATTTGTCGAAAAATTTAGTTATTTATGTAATTTATGTAATATCTTTACATTATAAGGATAGAATAATATATATTTGACTAAAATAAGTGATAGCTAATGCTTTATGCGGCTTGAGTAAGTATTATGAGTGATGGAAAGTGCGGTCTAAATGAGTAGCAAAATGGCGAGTTTTTGGAGTGTAAGTGTAATTTTTAAAACAGTTTATTTATATGAATAAATACTTGAAACATCCTATTTTTTGCAAAAATCTATTGTTTTGTTATTCAACTTTGAAAAGGTTATAAATGAAAAGCACAAGTATTCGTATAATTTATTCAAATCGCATTTATGCCACCTTAGGTGCATAAATTGATTTTGTCTACGTTTCCTGTTAAAAATAAAAAGGTTGAAACAATTTCCATAGGAAATTACTAAAAAAGAAGGTACATAGCCTATCTATAATTGAAATAAAATATTAAGCTGCATGTCGACCGACCAATTTCTTCAAGTTATTAAATAAATTTCAAACCGCGTCGAACACGCGCTGCGGTTGCGCAATCGTCCCGCAGACGGGGGGTATTTTAGGCGGAGGCTTTCCCGCAGTTGAAGGGTTAACTCAAACGTCACAAAGTTGTTAACGCGGTAATATCGTAATTCACAATTTTTAAAGGATCGCTTCATAGTCAGTCTCGCCGATCTCGTCTGCGGCCAGAGTGCACTCGCATTCAGATTCCGAAAACAAGCGCGAGAAATAAACAGTGTAGTCGAAGGGTACGGCCAGAGTGCACTCAGATTCAGATTCAGATTCTGAAAACAAGCGCGAGAAATAAACAGTGTAGTCTAAGCAGGTTGCCTGCTTTTTCTCGCGCTTTGTTTTCTGAGTCTGAATCTGAATCTGGCCGCACCCTAATGTTGATTTTAATCTGTATCGAAATGTGCACATTGTATTATAAATATTTATTGTCAACTCTTGAAACATAGTGTAAATCGATGACTAATAAAAATGTTGCGGTAGTTCTTGTTGATAGCAAAATTATGCTTTATTGTAATGAGAGTTCTATTTATAGGGACGGCACTGCGGCGTGCGCGCGACTAACTAGCGTTCCTAATGTTAGCGCGTATTACCGAGTGTCGACTTTCCTTCTAGCTTACCTGATTTTGTTGATGTGAATTATACAATTACCAATCCTCGTGTAGGGTGAAAATGTATTATAAAGTCTAGCGTATAATTTTATGGATCACAGAGTTGTAATAATAATAATATTGTATATCTCTAAAGTATCAAGACAGGTATCATGCACAAACAAACTCGTACGAATTAATCGTTACTAACTATGTTCAAACGCCGCTCCTGTATTTAGTTTCTATAATGCAATTATACGAACAATAATTTTTTAATGAACTAACTTTTCAGTTTTAGGTAGGTCCGATTCAATTGTATAATGTATAAGTGAAAGTGTATAGTGATTTCTCAATAGATACTTCCATAGCCAAGGGAAACTTGATGGTTAAATTGCAATGGCCTTATTTCCGAGTGTTGGTTTCAGTTGGGAGCCGCGCCTTCGCGCCTCGCGGGTAATGGTTGATAGAGTCGCTAGATTAGAACACGATACAATATTGTATCTATTTTAAGTGCAATTCGACAACACAGTTTCTTATTCCAATAATTTTAAAAGAGTATAAGTGTCGGAATTTTAGTCAAACTTATTTTGCAAATTATAACATTATATTAATATTTTATGATATTTTTATTAGTGTCATCCTATAGTGAACACTGGTCGATGTAATATATCATGGGCATTTAGTTTTGAGCACAGAAGCATCAAGAAATTTGCTCAAACTTTTCAGAACACCACAGGCTGAATGATCGTGTCAAAGAGACTAGGCACCATCTATGCATTCATAATGGTTATTTTTGTGGAGTATTAGTGTAAATTGATTAACGTTTGGGTGAGTGTCACAGAATCAACATCATTCTGTGATCTGAGCAATGGAGTTGTCAAATGGATGTAATTGAGTCAGTGGTTTTACATAAGAGAAAATTTAATGTATATGCTAAGTCATAAAATAAATAAAACATACAATTATTATAACATGACAGTTAAAAAAAATACATATGGAGTGTGTGGATAAGAATGGAAAGTAATACAAGCATGTAGAAACAATTAACTATTTAATAAAATTTTGTAGCTAACTTGAATTTTATGTAACTTTATTTGCAAGATTGTATTATTTATGTATTATAGAATGTAAGTTAAATGTTGCTTTAAAGTTAATCCTTACAATTTGATCATTGTTTTTACTGTCAGTTTTAATGTGAGATTTTGCAAACTGCAGAATATTGAAGTTATTTGTGAATATGTAATTATTCTTGTGATTTCGAAATACCGTTTATACTGTATTTTTATTTTCTAGATTAAAGAAAACATCTTACTGCATTGTATTTTTTTATTTTAAATACCTACCGATTGATTGTTACAATTATCATATAACTATTTTTATATAACAATTTTACATAATATTTAATGAAACTTTGAGAACGAAACTATTCAAAAAACGTTTACTATACTTACAAAGATAACGGCGGTGCAAAAGTAAGAACGGCGATTAGATTTTCTTTACTGCAGTACGAGGGTGTATTCCAAAATAAACATCAGTATACTGCCCAGTGGTAATTACGTCACGAATCCGACGCCATGTTTTACTGGTGTGCTACCATATTTTTACCGGGAAAACGAATATGACGTGTGACCGAGCGTGCGTGAGACGCATTCAAATTTTTATTTCTTTTTAATTTAAAGAACAATAATGGCATCCGAACAAAAAGAATTCCTTTTAATTGATGAGGTGAATAAAAAATCTTTATTCGCACTATTTTTAATTTTTCGTCGATTTATTACGTCAGTGCACTGGCGAGTATATTTCGGAACAATTCACCAGTATAGCGTCGATTCATGACGTCATTAGCACTGGCCAGTATACTGTTATATTATATTACGGAATACACTCCATGTGTGTAGTTTTGTTCCTTAGCTCCTCCCAAAATATGGCGTCGCGCAGTGAGGTGATACACGTAAATTTGCCATGCTTACTTATCGACATTAGATATCAACATGCACTCCAAATCATGCCAAATGCTAAAAATTATTCTATAAATCAATTTTCCATCCCTGCACAACAAGCAGACCCGTCTTTCCCAGTGGGCACTTTGGGCAAGTGCCCAGGGCCCCGCGGTCGATAGGGGGCCCCCTCAGATCAAATACAAAGTCCCTAGTTCCTGTTAAATCACCAAACGGAAGTCATAGGGGCCCCATGATCCTAATATGCCCAGGGCCTCCAATAGGTCAAAGACGGCACTGACAGCAAGTAATGTTATTGGAGAGTTTATTATTGCAAAGAGTGGGTAGCCCAGCGCCTTACATCACGCATGCATTGATGTATTGTTTATTTTTTTATGTACTACTATAACAATTACAACATTATCGCTAGACATCGATGCTAAGAAGTAAGCCCTAACAATTCAGAAGTCCATTTTGTTGTGTGACGGTGCGGTCGAAGTCGGCGAGGTGGGGGCCTTCGGTTGTCCCAGTTTGGAGAGAGTGGCAATTTTCCCCGCCATCTTGGCGAAGCTCATGCCTGACACTTGCGGTTCCGGCCGCTGACCGCCCTCCGGTTGATACGAAGCCTCCAACGAACCTTAACGAAATTACAATAACATTAATTACATCACTCCAGTATAAACTAGTATAAAGCAAAGTCGCTTACCGCTGTTTGTCTGTCCCTATGTATGCTTAGATCTATAAAACTACGCAACGCATTTTGATGCGGTTTTTTTTAATAGATAGAGTGATTCAAGAGGAAGGTTTATATGTATAATACATGCATAATAGTAGAGAAACACTGATAATTTTAGAGGTTTTTAATGTAAGGTCGTAAATAAACACATTTTTTTGCGCTTACATTGCAAACGCTGACTGAACCCTACGAGATAGATCAAAATAATGTACTACAGTATCGTACACCTTAAAAAGGTCTACAAAAATATCCGCGATGGTATATGTCTATCTCTTAGGGATAACCCACAATAACCATTTTCCTTTACTTTTTAAGAGAAATAATGGCTTATTTACGAAGCGATTTATAGCAATACACCATCAATCCTTATCCAACGAAGTACCTTAAATACATTGTGGATCAGGCGCGGTCGCAGCCTCAAATTTAGGAGGGGGTCACTCATTACACTAATAAAAAAAACCGGCCGTTCCGTACACACCTGAATTTTCAAAAATATTTTTTATTATATGATGTAACTAAAAATTCACGTTTTTTCTTTATCTGTACTATAAGAAGTTACTTTGTAGCAAATGTCAAGAATGACCTTAGATTTTGGGGGGGGTCATGTCCCCCGTGACCCCCCCCCCCTTCGGACCGCGCCTGTTGTGCATTAAATATAGATCAATATGGCCCTTTGCAGCATGTAATTTAAATGAGTATTTTTGAAGATATTCCAGAAGATACAGAATAAAAACTATAGTCTACAGCTCTACACCGAAGCGAAGCGAGGGCGGGCCACTAGTATAACTATAATTGCTATGTCTTCTTTCAAATGTTTAACACTTGTAAGCGTTCATTTGACATTGTGGGTTACCTACAATGCGGTGAGATGGCGCTGCCTTGCAGCTTAAGAAAGGTTAGAAAGAATTCGACACGGCATCAGGGCTGCGGTAGAATAGAGGTCAGTGCATTCGCCCGGTAGCGAGGGGTGCTGGTTCGGGTCACGGCTGCTGCCTGGCCCGCGTGGTATTTTTTCAAGTAAAATTTTCTTTGATTTAAACATCGAGCAGTAACATGCTTATATATTATAGAAATCTTTCCAACATACACCAATTAGCCTAGCCCCAAAGTAAGCACTGTGAGGCTTGTGTTATGGGATGCTAGGGTAACGGATAGAATACGTTTTCTGTGCATATATATTTATATAGAAATACATATTTAACATCCATGACTGGAGTACAAATGCTCGTATTCATCACACAAACATCTGCCCTCTCTGGGATTCGGACCCGGGACCTGTCGAGTAGGCGACACTCGGCCACGGAGGTCTTTATTAATTACAATGATAAATGGAATATTTTATATATTGTTTTAAACTTCCATGGTCACTGACCCTATAGTCATTTATGTTATTAACGAGATTTTTACAATGTACCTTTGTTTTTCTGACTTATAGTTACTCCGTGATCATGGCGCTTGCAACAGTGGCGAAATATTGGGAACTCGTTAAAAACAATGTACATGATATGATAATGGTCCAGTCCTGGTAATTACAAAAATTATGAGTATAGTCTAATATTTTATGTTATAGGCCAACCAGGCCGTATAACATGAGCACCATAATTTACATTATATCATTAATTTACATTATGTTTTACTGTCAAACTCCATAGTAATTTGACAATTAAGCGTGATAAAATCGCGATATATTTCATATCGCAGTGCTCATACTAGGGGGGGGGAGAAATAATTAAAGCTTCGCCATATTGCGGAATACAAATATGGAACCGATTTGCCAATGTAACTATTCAGTGATGTAGTTTCGCTTCAGAATGGAGCCGTAAAGAAAAGAACCAACCTCTTGATCGCTAATATGATACTATTTTAGGCTGGCTGTGCGTCATGCTCGTAAACGGTAAGTAAACATGAATCGAAGTAGATAACAAAACCAAAGATTTAGTTACGTATAGAGGAAAGGGCCTGGGTTCCTCCAATACCCGGGCGGGATTTTTTAAAAATTAAACTAAAAAAATAGTTATATATTATTAAGTTTGTGGCTCAAGCACATGCTTAGCTGTTTTAGATCCGTATTACAAAATGACAACTAAGTGTTGATCTTTACTTGAGTACAGTTAGAAAGGGATATCGCTATGTGTTATACATAGCGACATCCCTTTCTAACTACGCTCAACTAGATCAATCACTGACAATCTTTCTATAATACGGGCCTTAGATTTCCACCATCTATTAAAAGTGCTTGTTGAGTTTGAGATAAATTATTTCAATAGTTTTAATTTAACCTTAAAACTATTAAAATAATTTATCTTGATATTATATTGATTAGGTTGTCTATTATAATTCTAATCTAATACATAAACAAATCTTACTCTGTTGTGGCGACACTATGGAACTCGGCTGAGACCCCTGCTGGTTGTCGCCCTCCATGTTGTGACTCGTCTTCCCGTGTAACAGTTCCAAGGCTTGCGTGAACAAATTATTTTCACCATTTAGTCCTCCAACACTGAATCACTTCTATAGATTAAATCACTGTGATCATGTGCCTATTTCCGACTTTATCTTATCAGTTTAATATAGGTATTATATTCATTTATGTATTCCGTGAACAACTAAGTACCTAGTCATAATAAAAGATTGACGCTGTAGGTATTTCTATACTTTTAATTCTACATCTAAATTATACTTCTAAAAGATCTAGCAATATTCTCTACATTGCTCCAGTGTGTTTATATAAGGTTTTGTTTGTTAGCTGTGGCGATTCTACTAATTACTTACTCAGTCGATTCATCCTTGCACACTGCGGGAATCCAACAAACTGTGCAAATACTAGGGAACAATAGAGTTCTTAATTCAAATTAAGGCTTAATCGTGTTTAGTTATATGATTGTCTATGATCATCGAATGACAAATGCCACTTGAGTGATATATACAAAACAAGCGTAATTAGTCAAAGCTTACTCCTCGTACAGTAATAAGGGGGTTAGTGTTTAGTACATCATTCCATCTTGGTACGTCAATTGTTTTAAGTCAAATAGTGATTGCATGAGGCTAAAACGTGATTAGATTTTAAATTCATATTAAAAACTGCTGCAATAGGTGGGCCAAAATGTAATACTAATTTACGCAACACAAGGTCACACCTGAGTTCATTACCATCTTTCAAAGACATAGCGTCCATTCTTGAGTCTTGTATGGTCTCTAATTGTTGGCGGAATTTGGACGTGATTTTCCGGCGCTGGTAGTCTGCCTCGATTTGCTGCTTCGTCCGCGGGATGCGGTAACGAAAACAGCAGCATATCATAACGACTGCAAACAAGAAAATAAATATAATACAACGCCTATTCATATTAATTCTAGGTAAGTACTAAGTACTTAGATAAGGTGTGTATTTTCTTATAAACTCTGTTTAGGTACTGAGCTTCCCTCTTCTGCCTTAAGAATGTTCTTAAAGCGGCATAGGCAGTGTATACTATTTTTATAGCATTTTTAATTCCAAATTATAGTGCGATTCAAATAAGAATAGGAAAGCCGATGACCTCCAACTGTCAAATGTCGCTTGAAAAGTACGGTTTGCAAAAAAATATTGGGACCCTTTTTTAGCACTCGGCTAATTCTAAACTAAAAACCAAACATTTGTAAACAAATAATAACGAATATAAATAATTAATATTGATTGATTTTTTTTTCTTTTATTGAGCTTTGGCTATGAAAGGTTGATAACCTAAATCGTCAACCAAATGTCACTTTAAGTTGCGTTCAGAAACTCGATTTAAAACTTTCGTTTACATAAAGGATGTATGTTCGTATATGACCTAGTAATAGTGCATGATTATTCATAACTAACTACTCCGGCAGTAATGCAGAGATGAGCGGAATTGAAGAGCTAGATTCTGATTAATGTTTTTTCTCAAACGCCTTAATAAATAAATATTATTGAAAATGGATGTTTTTGCTCACTTCATCATCATCATCATCATCAACAGCCTATCATAGTCCACTGCTGGACATAGGCCTCTCCAAATGCACGCCACTCAGATCGATCTTGGGCTACTCGCATCCAGCTCCTGCCAGCCACCTTGCGCAAATCGTCACTCCATCGTGCCTGAGGACGTCCTACACTACGTTTGCCTAGACGCGGTCTCCACTCCAGAACTCGTCTACCCCAACGGTTATCGGTTCTTCGGCAAATATGGCCAGCCCACTGCCACTTCAACTTGCTAATCCGGTGGGCTATGTCGATAACTCTGGTTCTCTGTCGGATTACCTCATTTCTGATGCGATCTTTCAGAGAAACGCCGAGCATAGCCCTTTCCATAGCGCGTTGAGCGACTTTGAACCTGTGGATCAGCCGTGCCGTCAGTGTCCACGTCTCGGCTCCGTATGTCATCACAGGTAGGACGCACTAATTGAAGACTTTCGTCTTTAGGCACTGTGGGATCGACGATGTCAGGACTTGACGTAGCTTCCCAAACGCTGCCCAACCTAGCTGAACTCTTCTATTCACCTCGTCCTCAAAGTTGTTTCTACGTAACTGCAATGTCTGCCCGATGTATACATATTTTTGAACAACTTCGAGAACGGCACCGTGTATTGCAATCGGTTCCGGTAGAACATGTTCATTGAACATGACCTTGGTTTTATCCAAGTTCATCCGTAGGCCGATGCGTATAGAAGAGTCAGCCAGGTCATTCAGCATCTGTTGTAGGTCCTGCAGGGTTTCTGCCATGATGACGATGTCGTCTGCAAATCGCAAGTGAGAGATGCGTTCGCCATTTATGTTGATGCCATGTCGTTTCCAGTTCAGCGTCTTGAACATATCCTCCATTGCATTAGTGAACAATTTCGGGGAAATAACGTCCCCTTGTCTCACTCCACGATGCAACGGTATGGGACTTGTTTGCTGATTCTGTACTTGGACAGACATGGTGGCGGCTTCGTAGAGACATCTTATCACTTGGATGTATCGCCAGTCGACTTGGCAACGCTGCAGGGACTCCAGGGCAGACCAGATTTCAATCGAGTCAAAGGCCTTCTCATAGTCCACAAATGCTAGGCACAGGGGTTGATTGTACTCCTCAGTCTTCTGTATAATCTGCCGCACTGTGTGGATGTGGTCTATGGTGCCGTATCCGCTCCGAAACCCAGCCTGTTCCGGTGGTTGGAAGTCATCAAATCTTCGCGCAAGACGGTTCGCGATCACTCTTGAGAACAGCTTATAGACGTGGCTTAGAAGGGATATGGGTCGATAGTTCTTAAGTAGGGTCTTGTCCCTCTTTTTAAAGAACAAGACGACCACACTCCTACTCCACGCCTCCGGAGTTCTCCCTTCGAACAGGACAGTGTTAAAAAGCTTTTGGAGCTCCCTCAGTACGGGTTTACCTCCAGCCTTCAAGAGTTCTGTTGTAACACCATCCTCTCCAGGGGCTTTTCCATTTTTAAGCTGTCTAAGAGCAATCTCGATTTCGCCAATACTGACTTCTGGCAGGTCTTCGGTGAAGTGGCGTGTTAATGTGGCTCTAGAATCCTCATTTCCGGGATCAGGTCGAGATGCATGTGATGCGTATAACTGGCTGTAGAAGTCTTCCACTTCCGAAAGGACTGCCGGCTTTGAAGCAACAACTTCCCCACTCGCTGTGGTCAACTTCGTCAGATGCCTTCTTCCAAGAGATTGTACGAACACTTTGGATCCTCGATTCTGCTCGATCGCTCTCTCGATCGAGAGAGTATTGGAGCATCGGAGGTCGTGTCGTACGTGCTTACTGATCTCTTGGTTTAGAGTCCGCTTTGCCGACGAAGTGACGGGTGGGTTTTCACGTCGTTCCTTCATTAGCCCTAAAATCTCTTCCGAAAGCTTTGACTTCCTGCCCTTACGCTGCGTTGCACATAGTTTCGTACCCTCTTCCCTGAGAATCCGAACCACATTTTCGAGGTTTTGGTTTACGTCTGATGTGGTTTCCACGGCAGCAAATCGGTTCTCCAGATTTGACTGGAACGTTTCAGATCCTGTTATAGATTGGAGCAAAGTAGGTTGGAGCCTGGATTTCATTAAACGGACGCGCTCGGCCTTAAAGTTGAAATTCAGAGAGCCCCGGACGAGTCGGTGATCACTACCGGTATTGAACCTGTTGATCACGGAGACGTCTCTGAATATGTACCTCTTGTCCGTCATGATGAAATCGATCTCATTTTTAGTCATAGTGTCGGGGCTCTGCCATGTCCACTTCCTTTGGGGCTGTTTCTTGAAAAAAGAGTTCATCAAGAAGAGCCCCTGCTGTTCGAGGAAGTTGACGAGCATTTGCCCCCTATGATTTCTGCTTCCAAATCCATGGGATCCTACTACCGATTCGCTGCAATTCTGTACTCCCACTTTAGCGTTGAAGTCCCCCATAACAACGTTGTAGTGGGTCTTAGTAGTGGAGTGGAGGGCCCTCGATATATCATCGAACATATCCTCCACTTCGTCGTCCGAGTGTGTCGAGGTCGGTGCGTACACTTGCACCACCTTGAGGCTATACCTCTCGGTGAGCTTTATAATAAGGTACACTACCCTGTTCGACACGCTGGACATTTCCACAACATTATCGGCAAGGGACTTATTTACCAAAAATCCAACGCCACCTTGGGACTGTTGGTCTCCCCCGCGGAAGTAAATTAGGTGGCCCGATTCGAGGGTTATGGTGTCCTCCCCCTCTCTTCGGACTTCATTTAACCCTAAAATGTGCCACCTAATCTTTCCAAGTTCCACCTCGAGTTGCGCCAGATGCGAGTCAAGCCGTAGCGTGCGTCCGTTGTACGTCGCCAGGGTCAGTCTTTTGTGGTGGCCTCCCGTAGCCCTGAGATTCTTGGCACCCCCCGCCCCACCGTTACCGTGGTCGCCACCGTGACCAGGAATAGCGGGGCTGCCGGGAACTGGGGGCCGTGGCTTGAGTTTCTTGTGCATGAAGGTTTTGCCCTTAATCGCCACGCTGGGCAGGCGGGTTGGCGATCGCAGAGCGTAGGTTTATTTACTGATGACGCTGCTGCCCGTCACCAGTGACATTTTCCTCCCCTACGTCATTGGATGGTTATACCGCCATCGGTCGGTTTGCCAGAGCCTCGTCTGTTGCTCACTTAATCTTAGTAAATTAAAGTAAATCTTAGTAAAAAAAAGTTTTATTAAATAAAAACTTTTTTTTGCTCACTGTACCTGTTTTGTTGGAAACAGCCGGGACCTACGGCTTAACGTGCCTTCCGAAGTACGGAGCAGCTCGAGATAACTAATTTTTGGTCACCCATCCAAAATACTGTAGTAAAAAATAACTTTATATTAAATAACATTGTAAATTATAGTAAAAACAGTCGCATTAACCACTCTTTTATGGAATAGGCTCCAGTACTATTAATCGATTGGTCTGGGTCATTAATATGCCGCCTAAATACGTTTTATTTGACATCGAAAATTGTTTGCATAATATTTAGCTTGAATTTATTTATTTGAATGGGAAAACTTATTCAAAAAAGAAAAGCTATTCATACAAATTCAAAATATTTTTTCCTATGAAGTGCGTAGAGAACAGAGTCATTTAAAGTAACTAATAATATAACAAGTAGTAATATTCTTTTTTACTTGTAAATATTTTATTTCAACACATAAAACCATTCAAGTAACTAGCTTGTAAAATATTGTACGTTATTTTATGCCTTTACAATTCTAAATACATAACTCTCTTTTGTCTCCGCAGTCGGGTATTACACCCTTATACTTACTTCACTCTTTGTATTACACCATTTAAAACGGTGGCTTTCGGGTTTTAAACGGTGCGTTTCAGTTTTAAACTTGTTTTTTGTACCTCCCCTGGCAGTATCCATAGCATTTTGGCAACCTTGGGCTTAGAGTGGTAGTTTGTCTTACCAACTCTCGTTATTATGACTCTTTAAAATACAAGTACCCAAAACACACACACAACAACCATATGGAAAAACAATAGTAAAAAATACTGTGGTTTTAAGAAACTTGATGCAAATAAAACTTTTAAGTTGTTAGGCAGGTTGGTTGGGTAGTTTATTACATCGCCTAATTTTTTTTCGAGACGTAGTGTACTTACGGAACTTTGCCACCGACACTCACTTGGTTATGTTCTTTTGTGTTGTGCCATGTGCTAATCTGCGGACTGTTTATCCATAGCCGTTTTTTTTATACCTAAGTACTTTAGAATTTTTTATATTGGACCATGAAATAACCCTTGTCATTTACATGGGAGCGAGCTTCCATACATACATTCAACTCGACACATAACAAAGATGAAGCGGGGGCAGTAAGCG